CCATGTTAAGGAAAAACCCCACCCATACAGCGTTTTTTTTTTTTTTTTTTTTTTTTTTTATCCATCCAGACGGCTTCCCGCGCCCCCCTTGCAATGGCACGGCGCCCCCACTAGGGGGCGCGCCCCACAGTTTGGGAACCTCTGGTCTACTGCATAACCTCAAACGTAAAAATAATTCATTGACTTGGAGTACATTTATTCAGTCAGTTTTTATATTATAAGAAAAGAGAAATTGAATGTTAAGATATGATTAATTTTGACAAAATTAAAACTGTGTTCAATTCCTACAGAGCTGAAGCATTTTTTTAATTTGTACTTTAAGTTGAGTAGACATTCTGCTTCCCTGGGGAATAAATATGACGTAACACAGAACCTCATTTCTGTCCGCTATTTTCAAAACGGACAGATTTGTGTCCTTTAAATCGAGTGTCTCTTTGAGGGCTGGTCGGTACAACCTTGTGTCGGTCCAAAGACATTTAGGGATCCATGTACAACCAAGAAATGCTAGTTTTTACACCAGAAGATGAAAACACTCCAAGAACACACATCATCTGTTGTAATGTTGTGATCCCTTGGTTTTTGTGTTTTTTTGTCTCTGTGGTTTTGTGTTTAAATCATTTGGGGGTTGTGACTGTTTTGGATTCCTTTCCGTTCTTTTTTGTGTTCAGAGGCTTAGTTTTTTTTTTTCCATTTGGTGCTTTGTGTACTGGTTTGAACTATTTTAGTTTTTGCTTTAGTGTCTTATTCCACAGATCATTTTGTGGCCTGTGTTTACTCATGTGCTAATTTGTTATTTTCCCACCAGGTCCTGAATCAAAGTCCTGACCTCACTACAGCTAATGAGAGGAGGCAGTGAAATTAGTTCTAACAATGATGAGAAAATCAATTTGTCCACTTGCCTGTTCTATAAATTTTTTTTCTGAATGATTCCATCATTTTCATGGCCAAAAATCACTGAATTTATGCATTTATTGTTCAAAAAAAGTGATGAGCTGTGCTTCACCTCTGGTGATTCTGTGTCTCACACAATGAATGATGAAGGTAGCTGGAAATGTCTGATGCATATATGATTATACTGCTACATATGCTGATGTTCCACAATCTGTCTAATGTTTTAAAAGAATAAAACAACAGAAAGACGTATTTAGTCTTTCTGATAAATGTGCATGATGAAGAAAATACTGCTTCACACTGACAGGGGGCAGTGCTGAACTCCTTAGCAAACTGCGTAGAAGAAGAGCAACAGACGATCTCCTTATGCACATTAAAAAGACTAAAATAACCAGGAAAATACAGTCACAATAGAACCATTCTAGGAAAATTCTTCTCTTTGGCGATCATGTCTGTTAAAGCAACCAGAATCAACTTCAGGTAAACATTTCCATCTCTACACCTAAATCATGTGGGGAACTTTTCCGGTTACCTGCAGAGAAGAAACACCATGAGAGGGTTCAGGATTCTGGATGACTTAGGTATATATCTCTTAATGCCATATGCACCAGCCTTGAGAAGGTTGTTACAGGAGAACATAAGCAAAATGGAAAAAGTTTATAGTACAAAATATGGGGTGCCAACCAAAGACACCAAAGATTTAGTTTTTCTGCTGAATGAAATTGCTCAAACTGGCTGGATTTCTCTAACATTTTCACTAATGTGTGAGCTTATGCTGCTGCAATAACAGATTCATCTGTTTTAAGGCTTTTCAAAGCTTTTACCAGGCTTGCCAGCTCTTTATCAGTTGCAATTAATGTGATGAAGAGAATGTAAAATTTGGCTGTTCCCTCTTTTTTTTTTCACTTGTATATCTTCAAGAAATAAAAGTACATGGATTTTGCAGAGAGCTGCATGGAAAAACTGTTGACAGATAGTTGAGAGATGTTTTAAACACCTTGTTACCCAACATGCTAATGTTTTAATAATTCATTCTAACATCGATTCGCTGGCTGAATTAAAAAGCAGGAGCATGTAGTGAAAGACCTGAAGAAACTATCACAGTGGTGAACTTCTAAGTGATGTTCGTCATTGTTTTTGTTTTACGAAGAGTCCAGGTGCTCTAGATATGCACTCCATTCTCCTACCAAAGCTAAACCAATGCACTGTGTACGACCCCCAGACAGGACTGATCAATAAGTCACTGCAATGAAGTGGCACATCGATTACACCAATGACACTGCATTTACAGGTTTAATCTGTATAATGAGTCTAACCTTTTTCTTTCTGGGTGGCATGGACCTGTCCTAGCTCAGAGTGGATGCAAGCACACTCAGATGAGCGCTGCGGCGCACATGTCGTTTTGTGGGCTGCATTTTCACTGCCATAGTAGAAGTAAGTGAGACGAAGAGAACGCAAGATTCCTGTGGAAAAGCAGAGTAAGAACCGCAAAAGCGCTGCACAAAACACACTGTTGTGGAAAAGAAGAGTGGTTTATGTGACATCTGGCTCTGTGTTTCCTTTTCAGCTGAAGGTAAGACTATGGTGCAAGGGGGAGGATCGTCATTAACACACATTCGTATGCAGTGTACAAGGCCCGCTGGTGATTAATGTGAGTCATGGTTAACTCCAGGCTCTGCAGTCTCTGTAGCATTTACAGTGTGTCTTCCTCCTCTTGGCTTCGAAATCTTTCCCTCGGCTGAAAGGCTTACTCCGATTTTCTTTTTGTCCTGTTGGTGCACAAATGGCTGCTACTCCTGTTCAGCTTTTTAGACCACTCTGTTATGTTTTATGCACCTGTTTGAAAATGCAGGTTAGCAATACATGGAACAAAGTAAGGCTGACTGTGGTTTTAATGAAAGAAAGGTTATTTAGGCCATTGCTGCACAGCAAACTACACAGCTAGTGCAGCAGGCGAGCTGTAGGTAAATGCTGGAAGCATTGTAGCGCTGTTTTCCTTGGTGCTGTTGTGATTGCCTTTAGAAAATAATTATGGTAAATGTCAAAAATTATTTATTTCTTCCTTAACTAAAAATGAAGTGAGTTGACCTCTCTAAGGACCTGATTATAGCAAAACTCAGCTAAAACTTGAGGAGCCCTTTAAAAAACGCTGGTAGCCTGTTATTTTAGTACTTCAAACACCAAATATACATTAGCATGCATTAAATCGCACATTGGAAACCGTCGTAGCACTACTGTAAAAGCTTACATCCTTACATTCGGTTTGGCAATCCTGGATTAGCTGCTTTGCAAATGCCAGCTAATAGCGCCGGTTAGCATTGCGGCTCAGTTTCCTCAGCTCCGTTGTCTTTCAAATATTCAAGATATGTGCAACAAACATCCATGAATAGGCAAATTTTCTGTGTAATGTTCCACAGAATAATCTACAAATAGGTCCACTCAGAAATACTGAACTTCAGAGAGGTAAGAGTTCCTGCTCTTTAATATGTTGTGAATGCCATCTATTTTGATGTGGTCACATCTCTTTAACAATGGCAGTTGGTTAAAGCTTAGATATAATTTCCGATATTAAACAATAAATACTGTGATAAAACCATCTTTAGGACGTTTTTTGTAATAAAAAACTCAATTATCTATGTTTTATTACTTGTACAGTAGAAGAATAACTTCATAATTCAGTTTTATGTAACTAATTACAAGCACTTCATGTAAGTTAGGCATTTAAACAGATCTATTAAAAATGCAAGTTAATTATAATCAAATGAGCAAAACACAGAATGACAATTGTCTTTGAAGTGATTATGCCTCTTAGAAATGTCACAGCATGGTAAATGATGTTTTTCCCAATCCATGGTAGCGAAAAGAAAAAAAAAAACTCTCTGGGGCATAAAGTGCTCTCAGCGTCTTGTCAAGGGAATATTACTGCAGTGTTATGATGTGTTTTTATTCTGTCAGTCTCATCCCCAAGGGCACGAACCCTGCTTGCAACTGCGCTGCCTGCTGGTTCCCTTTACTAGGGAATGGTTTGACACATTCAGCCAATAGGCATGACGACACAGAGACGGCAGAAATAAAGAAACATACATATACAGGCACATGCTTATACACACACACACCACGCACCATCACCTTCAGAAAGTTGCCTACTTGCAGGTGAACCAAGTTCTCTGCTGCTTTGCCAGTCCATCTTTGCCTCCCCTCCCCTCTTGTCATCTCTTTGACTCCCAAGGACAAGAAGACCCTCCATACAATGGGACACCATTTATCACTGCAGGAACAATTACTGGAGACATTTCATTGTCAGAACATTTCAAGCCATTCTCTCCTTCATCTCTCCCTCTTTATCTTGCTCCTGCTTGCTTCCTCTTTCCTTCTTTCCTGCCATCCCTTTCTTTCTCTCCCTCGCTTCCACTGCTGTGCCTTTTTGCATGGCTCCCAGTGAGCTCTGTTGCAGGTCAGACATCCATTAGCCCAACTACATCACTGTAGATTACAGCACGGCGGTGGCAGAGCTCTGTATTATATCTTGTCTGAAGGCCCTGACAGACTTTTCTCTCTGTTTCTAACAATAGGATCCCTTTTCCCGGGGAAAGCCGTGGCAAATAGCTTCTGATACTGTATCTTCATCCCTGCAGTTTAATGAGGCATTTTAACATGGAGTGAAAGTGTGAAAAGAAAGGCAGGCAGTCAGATATCAAATTTCTACATTTGATCGTAAATGTCTGCCTTGTCAAAGCAAAGCAGAGGAAGAAAAGACTAATGGTTGAGTATGAAGTTGAAATTGTTTGCAGCTTTTCCACCAAAGTTTTGCTTTATTTGTTGTGTTTTTGTTCCAGAGCTAAACTGATGGTTTGGCCTGCTGATTGGTCTGAGAAGCTGATGCTTTGGCTCCAACAATGAACTGGACTGAAGGAAGAACTGACATCATCAGGACCAGAGGCGGGTAGAGTGTCCAAAATTTGTACTTAAGAAAGAGTAGCACTACTTCAACACATATTTACTCTAGCAAAAGTAAAAAGTAGCCATTTAAGAAGTAAGAGTAAAAAAGAAATTGGTAAAAAGGCTCCTCTAGTGCAGAGTGACTGATCAACACATCAATAATTTGATAGTTAAAAATTACATAATCAGACTGACCAAAATACAGTTACATGTAAATTTTTATATTTTAAAGACCAACATGAAAATAATTAATGTAAATATAATTACAAAACAACAAAATAAGAAAAAAAAATATCTAAACCAATTTATTTCAACATAAAACTTAAGAAGCTTTTGGTGAATTTTTATTTAAAACAAGTTTGCTTTCCATTCAGTGAAGTTACTCACAGTTGGTAGACAATCCATAAATTTTACTCAAGTAAGTTTTTGCAATTTGCTCATATAATGTTCAACCTGAGGCCGAGAACATGATATATATCCTTCACATCCACCAGCACAGAATGGAAATTGGCCAGTTTCATGCAGCCAATAATTGCTGATTTGATCAGTGTTGGTTATTTTTTTCTGACTAATGACATTTAAAAAGTGCTCCAGTCGGTGCTGAGCCATAAAATGGAAAATGACGTCACTCCTGAACAACACAGCCTTTCTGTGGTGGAATCAGTGGATTTTAGTCTGAACTGAACCATGTTGAGTCAATGTGTGTCCATTTGTGTTGCTGCGTAGGCTGGTAGGGAGACCCTGAGGCGCTGCCTGAGGGCCACTCAGTGGGTTCTAACGGGCCCTTGACAGTTTCCAAATGTCTCTCAGTCCACAGCCACAGGTTGGGCCTACACAGTATGAGACTCATACATTCAGCCTGAATTGAACAGGTTCACCTGTCAGTCAAACGTATAACATCTGGAATGCTTTCTGTTTAATGTTATTCTACTATGAAGTTCTGGTAAAATGCAAAACTTGGGTTTTGAGAAAGGGAATCAGATATTAAAATTTCCACATTTATATTTCTCTGAATTGTTTCAAAAGCATTTTAGAGTGTAATCACACCTGATAATCTGGTAGACTCGGTTCAACTAGCCCCAAACTTTCAACGTTTGTTACATTTTCAGACACTGCACTGTGTCAAACAAACCAAACCCTTTGAAAAACCTGTTCCCCTCCTCACCTGTGGTGGTGCTGCACCAAGAACCACAGAATTAAATGACAGGAAGACACAAGTGCAACTTCCTTCTTCGCAAAATCTATACAAAAATGGAGTAGCGTCAGATTTTAGCGGTTGCAGAAGTTCTATTTTGGTGTTGGTAAAAGACTGTAAGCCATTTCTCCCAGTAGCGCTAGACTCTCACATTTGTTTTGGCTGTATTTACCCAGAATGCTTTGCACTTTGCTTCCTGCTTTTAGAAGCGGTGGTCTCTGGTCCACTGGCATCCACATATGCAGTCGGACCGTGCCAGAGTTCACTTCAACCCAATCAAGACTTGGGCTTTTAGGCAGACCAGTGTTTTCTTTTTTGTTCAATTACGCTTTCAAACCTCCCCAAACGAACCAGACTTTTTAGACAAATGGACTGGAGTTTGATTAAAGTGGACTAAACATGGCTGGTGTGAATGCACACTTTGTGCCAAAGCGTTTGGAAGATCCAAAAATACAAAAATTGCAAAGTGGGATAATGCACAAAGTGTTAGAAACTTTCCAATGAGAGTGTTATTTATTCGTTTTTGCAGCCACACACAATCTGGATCACTTAAATGATGGAGTCAGAGCCGGTTTTATCAGCAGACACCATGGGGAGTTTACACAGATATTCCTGCACATTTCTGTCTGCAGTAACTCTCCATTGACATTGGTTAAAGAGGGTCAGATAGATAGCAGGATATAGATCTGACAAGCCCACACAAGTGAGAAGGCCGTGTGCTGCTGTATATCCTGAGCATTGAGAGAAAATGACAAAAGCAAATCATAATAAATGAATAAAAAATGTGCAATATGATGCTCCTCAAACAAAAACACAGATTTCAGTCTGTTTTACTTTTTGTTTGTTTGATTCTTCTGTGAGTGAGAGTTGGGCACACAAGGCTGCACGTGGCCCATTGGACTCATCAGCCTGCAGTTTTTGGCCAGCCTGATGGTTAATTGACATCTGCTTGTTAACGCTACAGTAGCGCCAAGCTTTCTTTAGTAAGTACCTTTTTATTAAATGGTGAAAATGACTTTAGGCAAAATGTGAAGTCAGAGGAAAGCACAGACATCAACTCATCTTTCTGTTAAATTCAAATTAAGATAACTCCTTAGAAAAATAAAGATTATTTTTCTTTCAGATTGATTTTGATGCTTATTTTTTATGAAGCTATAAATACATCTTTACTTCAACTACAGATTCCAAGCAAATTGGTTTGGGCCAGGAGAATAAGGGTCTCCTACTGGCTGACTGACAGCAGGACATAAAGAAGATATGTTTGAGTTGAAGAGCGCTGATTAAAATACTGTGCAGCAGGAAAGACGTAACAATACCCTTGTGCTGAAGCCTAAATCTCAATGAATCCACCTGAAACATGCCACTCCAAATTATATCACTGCATTGCACTGCGTCATAGTTACACGTCTCTGAGTAAAAAGGTTTGCAGAAAACAATTGAACACCACAAATGTAAGACTCATCCCTGGAAAAGAAAGAAAACAATGAGTCATTTTTCCTTTACTTCTTTAAAATGTGCCACATGGTGTTGCTCTGTCACATAACATCCCAATTTACTAGACATTAACTTTACTTTTAGGGAATATTGAAAAGTTGTCTGTCTTGGAGGACTTCTGCTTTTTGCTGCACCGCTGCTCACTGTTTTAATTTCCATCAGCAGCCGAATCACAGACTAAACTACAGGCAATCCATGCAGAGTTTAATATCACTGAAAGGGCTAGAACAGTAATTTAGAAGCACTAAATGGAAGCTGCAGATAATCAACTTTGCATATTTGATGTGAGGCACTCTTCAGAGTGGGCTGGCTTTCAAATGTAAATTTCGCCCGCAAACTTAAATCATTTAGAGCATTTTACTTGGAGCGCATCTTTGACAACAGTAAATCACAAGGTTGCTGCATCCATTAGCAAATTGGCTCTGCAGTAGATGGTATAAGGGAGGGTGGGCAGACATGAGAGTGTGCCAACGGTCTTTTAAAATCAACAGTAACCATCTCAGAGCTACAGCAGCCAAACTCTGCAGCATAAACTTCTAGTAATATACATCACAGTAATAGGCTCATTGATTGGCCAGCCGGGACAGGGGGCGGGGCATAAGTGTTATAGCTCCAAGCAGTGCGTGCCACAATCAGGTTTGAAGAGTCTCTGTTTTCTATGTGGCCCCTTTTCTCACACAACACTGTTTCCATGAGACGCCTGAAACGGCTCTTTCAATGGGCGCCCTTCATGCTTCACAGTTTGCTGCCAGCCAGCGCATACTCTCTGTCTGTCTCCGCTCTCCATCTCATCCTCATTCTGTCAGTCTTTCTCACACACATTTTTCAAGACACTGCCCTTATAGCTCTTTTTTTTTTTTTTTGGTTTTGTTTTCATTTAGGCAGTTTTACCGTGTGAGGATGAGGAAAGTGTATCTGCCCTTTTAAGAATTATGCATTAGACAGAATAGCTGGTGCGTTCATGAGCACAAAGAGCGAGATGAGAGGAGGAGAAATGGGGCCAATTAGAAGCCTGGAGCTTGCACAGTCCACTGATGCAGCTGGTCTGGCCCAGAACAGTTTGTGTCTGTGTGAACTTCTGTGTGTGGGTGGGCTGTTTGCAGGTAGAGGTGGCGATGAGGAAAAAGGAGCAGGAAATCCATTATTTCTATTTTAGTGTGCAGCATTAAGGAAGGCTGGTTGAAATATGAATTATAGAAATGACTACTGGGGTTTTAGGCCATCCGTCCGTCCGTCCGTCCGTCCGTCTGTCCGTCCGTCCCTCCATCCGTCCGTCCGTCTCCCTCCGTCCGTCCGTCCCTCCGTCCGTCCGTCCGTCCATAAGCCAAACCAACGGCTCTGCCCTTAGATTTAGAGGAGCTTCACCGTAAGTTGAAAACCACTCCAGTGCAGTCTGAAGGTCATGGCTTGAAGACACAAACACAACCACAAGATGCAATCAAAGAGGTGCTTTATCTAGAATTTAAAATAAATAAATGTAGAAGAGGAAACTATGTGCATACTCGTACTCTGTTATGCACTCATATAAGACTGGCCAACTCTGCATTCTGTGTGATCAAAGTTAGTAGATCAAACAGCTCTACTGGCAGACGAGCGAGTTACCTGTCCTACAGCCTCAGGAAATATGGCTCACACCTTGCAATTACTTCTCCGCAATGCAGAGAAAATTTCTTCACTGGAGAGTCGTCCTCCCAGTTGGAGAAACACAGTTTTGACACCTCTTTGACATGTTTCTGGATCCTTCCTGAATTCATAGCCTTCATCTTCACAGCCCTAAAGACGTCCTCGTTAATTAACGGGGTAAAAAAAAAAAAAAAAACACATACTGGCTCCTGTTAGCTTTGGTGACTGCTTTATATTTCCCCAGACTCTATCAGACTGCTAGATAGCGTTTCCTGCTGCACAGTATTTTAATCAGCGCTCTTCAACTCAAACACATCTTCTTTATGTCCTGCTGTCAGTCAGCCAGTAGGAGACCCTTATTCTCCTGGCCCAGACCAATTTCATTGGTATCTGTAGTTGAAGTACAGATGTATTTATAGCTTCATAAAAATAAGCATCAAAATCAATCTGAAAGAGAGATAATCTTTATTTTCTAAGGAGTTATCTTAATTTGAATTTAACAGAAAGATGAGTTGATGTCTGTGTTTTTCTCTGACTTCACATTTTGCTTAAAATAAAAGCAAACATTGAACAAAGAAAATTAATAATTTAGACCAACAACAGAATAGGGTAGAGTAGAAATCCCAGGTAGAGCTTGGTAAGAATATACTTTGACTGGACCAATGGTTGTTGAGACCAGAACAGAAAGTTCCCCGATGAGGCACTTTGCTACATTACCAGCAAACCAGTTTTTTACCCATTTCAGACAGAAGACTCACCATATTCAATGTAGCCAAAGGGAAATTGGCACGTTCTCCCGACCTTCTGATTGTCCTGATCCTCCAAGTGTGACGCGAACCAACAGAAGCGTTGAGCGGGTCTATTAGGCTTAGGGCGACTAACTCATTGTCAACCCCTCAAAATAGTGGAACAGTGTAGTCATCCTTTAAATCTGTGTTGAAAGTGCAGGGGACTGTGTCAGGAAACACTTTGGGCTTTATGTGGCATGGCACCTCTTTATTGTGGAGTGGAGCGTATGGCAGTAATCCCACCGCCAGATAATAAGACGGCATGTCATAAATCCCCTCTGAAAACTGAAGCAGTTAGGCTCTTATTTGCACTTTCCATCAGGGCATGCGCTGTTTGCGTTCGCACAGAGTTGTCTCTGCTCGCACCTTCTCTTTTTTTTTTATAAGACTGAAACTCATAAAATAGTCAAAGTCTTTAAACATCAGCTGGTTTCTCACACAAAGCAGACAAAGAACCACATTTAAACCTTGCTCGGGTGTGAACTCTGTAAACAGAGATCTTACCTTAGAGAATGAGAGCGAGCAACATTTTCTTAAATAACTGTCAGATTCTGTCTTTTAGAGAGAAGAAGGAGATGATTATGATTTAATTAGACTGAGCACAGGAGACAAAAAATCTGAAATGAAAGACAATAAAAAGTAATGAAGCAGCACAAGTAAGCAAGTGTGTTCCACAGTCAGGCCTTTATCTTTTTTAAACAGCACCTCTGGGCCCCTGCAGCAGCTGTGGGGGAATGTGAGTGCCCAGCTGCATGTCTGAGACAGGCAGTGGTTAGGCGCGCCAATCTGGTGGCCTCTTTCAGGCTGCCAGTCTGCCCAGATCTTCAGGGCTCCCCATTAGCCCACTCTGTGACACAAGAGCTAATTAAAAAGAGCCCAAATTAACAACACATTCACATGCAAGCCTGCCTCTGCAGTTTGACTCCCTTCTCCTCTGCTTTTATTTCTTTATTTACGTACAAAAACAGTCTCACTCCTCCTCCTCTTCCTTATCACTCTGTATCTCACTTAGTCTGCCTGCAGTGGGAACATGTGTTTACCTTAAGGGTTTTTATGGCAATTACATCCATGTGCTCCCTTTGCCTGCTTTGTTTCTTTTTTAATTGGCAGTCAGCACGCCGCGATTCCAGTAGGTTCTGGAAAGGTCAGGGTCATATGGGAATGGTTTCAGGCAGAGGTGCTCGAAAACTGTGAAACCAGAACTGCTCCATACATGCACACATTAATTAAAAATCTCCAGGTAGGAGTACTTCATGACCTTTTCGGGAAACAATTAAGAGGGGAAAATTAAGCAGTACCAAAATGAGATCTAAACTGTGATAACATTGAAAGATATATGAAGTTTCTACTTCAAAAATGGCAAAGAAGAGCAACTAGAGATGCACTGATTGGAAAATGTGTGCAGATATCCAATATTAATATTGGTGTTACAGCCGATAATTGATATTTATCGATGTTATGTATTTCGCTACCTTTTCGGCTCTTTAAAAACGACAGTCCTTCTGACTTCGCTGCTTCTCTGCAGAAAGATGTAAGGCTGTAAAGTTGCACATGTGTTTGCAGCCATTTTCAGGTGCGACAGTAAGCATTGAGTTGGGTTGGCATCGCCAGCAGCAGCTTATTTAGATTTAAAGTGACGAAAGACTCTAAAACTGCTCATTCTGAAAGAAGCTCAAAATAGACAGAACTGACCAGAATAAAGTCTCATTATCTGAGAATGATTTTGAGCAAAAAGATGCAATGAAAATGTTTTATATAGATCATAGAGCTGTTTTAACCTACAGTAAGTCACCTCTAAGGATGTTAAGTTGTTTTTCTGTGACAAATGTGACATGAGTCTTTCTATTTTTTTTATTTTTAGCAGTGGTTTTCACCTCTGAACTTTCTCATGGAGGCCAGTTTTGCCCATTAAATCATGAGCAATGACCTAAACAGAGGGAAGTGAGGTCTGCAGTGCTTTAGATGTTCTTCTGGGTTCTTTTGTGACCTCTCCTCTTGGAGTAAATTTGGTAGGTTGGCTGCTGCTGTGAAGGTTGACCAACGTTAGATGTTTTCCATTTGGGGAGAGTGGTTCTCTCTGTGACTCGCTGTGGTCATAGCACCTCAGAAATGGATTTGTGACCCTCTGCAAACAGAGAAGCATTTGTGAAATCCTAATTTTAAAACTATATTTCATTTTTACTCAGCTTATTCTTGACAGTTATTATAAAACAGAATAAATCTGCAAGGGGACTCTCTTTTTTTTTAATTTTTTTTCTATAATACTTGTGCTGAAACAGCTTTAATTTGAATTGTTGGAGTGTTACATCCAGCCGGACCACTGAGAAGCAGGTTGCTGCCGGCTACCCTCTGTGCTGGTTGTAAATCTCTTTGAGACCGTATGCAGTGAAGCACCTCTCTGCTGTCAGGTCACTGTCCAAATTACCCAAGAATTTTGAAGTATTAAAATTTTAAACTCCCATAAAATGGCCTACATGGCCCTGGCTGCGTGTGGCTGTAAATAATAGATGAAGACGAGCAGATCAGCATGTGTAATGGGAACTTGGCTGGAGACGTGGCGTGAGCTGACTTGGTATTTTTGTCAACGTGTCAGATGACCCTTGTAATTTAAATTTTCCAAGAGGAGAGCCTTGATGGAGACAAGAAATAATAAGTGTTTTGTGCACAGCGCCGTGCAAAAGGACTCATAAACATTCTCACATTTTATGATGATAAAATCACAAACCTAAATGTATTTTATTTGGGGGTTTATGTGATAAACCATGATTGTGAAACAGAAGAAATATAATTATGCTCAGTCTGTGCTTGAAGGCCTCAGATGTTCCTTATAGAACTTTAGGAAAGAAAAAGTATCAAGAGAACCAAAAAACAGAGCAAAGACGATATCCGTCACCTAAAGTTACACACAGAACAGGAAGACTGCAGCATTCAGGCAAAAAGAATAATTTGATCATCTTATTGTTTTAGGTCTTGAACATAAGAGATTTGTGTAATTCAAAAATGATTAATATATTGGAAATTAATTATCAGCTCAATAATTTACTAATTCTACAAAAGACGGTGCATCAATTTCATGAGAAATATAAACTTAGGGATTTGGTTTTGTTTTTAGCTGCTCATGTTATTTCTGTTTATCCCTCATTGGCAGTAATAGTTGCCTTGTTTTCTTTCGGTTTTCTCCTGTTGGGTTGTTACATTTCTATTGTTTCCAACATTCTCTGTTCTTTCAGTAATTTCTCCCACTTCCTCAGTCGAACTTCAGATCTTTGCCATGTAAAGTCTTCCTTTCAGTCAAACCACCAGTCAACAGTGTGTCAGGTATCACTGTGCCTGTAGGTATTTTAGTTTACCAAGCTTCATTTTTTGGAGCACTGTGCTCTACAAAAAAATTCATAAAGTGGCATTTTTTTCTTTTGTGAATAACTTGGAGTCGTGCTCTACTGAAAATCTGTGAATACTGAACCTTGAATCGGCAGGAGTCCACTGTGTAGTTAAGCTTCAATTACATTAAAGCCAGTGTGAAAAGTATGAAAGCATATTCCTCCACAACGATATTTGATTGCAAGTAAGAGACACATAAACTGAAGTATTTTACTTCAAATTAAAGGTATTTTTTAGATAGTCCTGCTTTCCCTTCATCATCCACCTTTCTCTGCGGAAAGCGCAGATTATAGTTAATTATTTTGATAAATGGTGGAGCTTGGGCTGCTCCATCAGCGTTGTGTAATTTGTCTTTGCTCACATCTCCTTTTTTCTTGTCACTTTCAACTCAACAGGTAGCGATGCTTCATCACAGATTTCATTTCAGCATGCAGGCCTGTGCGCTCCTGCAGAGTAATTTTTCATCAAACAGAGTTTAGCAGAAGTAGCAACGTTTGAGAAAGAAAGCATGAAACCAGAGTCAGACGTTTCCTGCTGGTTTTGTCAGTGTTGTTTTTAGTGTTGTGGGAAAATGGAGGAGGGGATTTTCTGCACCAAATCCCGTCTGCTGTCCTAAAATTTGTCAATGAACAAGTTTGAGAATAAATAGGTTTTTAGGCAAAATCTCAAATTAGAAGGTTCTTTTAACGTGCTTAAAATTAATAAAATGAATCGCTAGAAAGGTTGCCTGGTTTAGTCAAAATACCAGCTTGCAATTGTGTGCAATAACTGTAACTTGCATTTGTATGCATTTTTTATGCTGCATAAAATGTAAAAAGGCTATTTCACCACTAATGTAGCAGCTGGGGGGTTTCAGGCAATATTAATGGAGCACATTTTGAGTAAAATGCTGATGAAAAATATAAATTTATGTTAATAAAAATTCATTTCCTTCACATAAAAGGGTGTTACATTTACTTTGTGGAAAAGGTTGGAGGTTTTTGCAGTAACTAAAAATATGAACTTTTTCCACTTCTAGAAAATATTCTCTGCAGTTTCTTTTTCCTCACGGATTACCTTTGTCACTTTATCACATCTATGTGTAATAATTCCCCTTAGTCATACGCTTTAAGCCACCAGGAATTGATTTTAGTTGTAAGCACTTACTCTAAATGTGAATTTGCTTGTCAACAATTGAGAAATATGCTAAAATATGAAAAAAGAGTCCAGCTGGATGCAGCACAAAGCTGCAGAAGAGTCAACCCGTGTATGGAAGACCGAAGCCGGGCGTCAGGGCATTTAGGAAGTCTGCACCTTCATTTTTGAGTTCACAGCATCAACTCATGAAGTATATGTTGCTTTTTCCATTAAATGGTAGGAGGTGTGGAGAAACGTTTAAGCACAACAGATTGGAGACCCAACAAACAGGAAGCCTGCCCAAACATTTAAAAGCATTACATGTTGTTGAAATTCAAAGAACAAAACTTCATGTTGTGATCTGTGTTTTCTGTGTATTTATTTTGAGGTTTTTCTGTGCCTGTTCCCCTGTGAGTCTCTGTCTACCCTGTTGATTGTTCCCAGCTGTGTCTCATTTCTTTGATTACTCTCCCAGTGTATTTAGTCCTACCTGTTGTCTTTGTCTCTTGTCGAATCCTTGTCGTGTGTAGCCTGTCTCCCTGTGCCGTCGCGTGTTCGTTGTGCTCCCCGTTGGTCTGTCCTGTGGATTATTGTTATTAAATCATCATCTTCACTTTATCTTGGTCTGCCTGCGTCTTCCCTCACCTCACCAAATCCTCAATCATGACACGTCAGGCAGTTTTCAGGTAAATGTTGTACTTTCTGCTCCAGTTCTGACCAGTGTTATTACTCTAAAGAACGTGGGCCAAGTTTCAAACTGTCATAATCCTGGAATATAAAGAGTTTTTAACATCAACAGGAAATCTGTCCCTTTCAACTATTTATTTTCATGAACCAATCAACATTTCTATTTAGCAAATGTTCAAGGATAGTAAGAACATTCATAATGTTCTTTTGCTGTGTTGTTACTAAACAACCTTCCAAATGAGTAACACCAAAGACTCTTTTTGTGTCAGAAAAATGTGTTTTAAAATAACTTTTCTGCAAACAATTGAAACATTATTTATTTATGTATCATACTTTAAATGTTTTTAAGTTTTCTGGCTCTAAAACAAAATTATATTTGGTCTTTGTGTACAATACTGGTCCTAATATTGCTCTCAAAGTTCACTGACATTTTAACAAGGGTTATCCCAGAATTGCCTCTCATTTAATTGGCTTAGATGAATATCTGAAGTATTAAAGCTGTGCAGCGCCACACCATTAACCGGCTCATGTTATTGGATCTTAAAGGACATTGTAGATGCTGTTTGTGTATTATGAACAACATTTAAATTGTGATGCACATGAGGGATACTTTGCATACTTTAAAATGTTTATTTATAGAAAAGGCAGAGCAAGAAAAAAGGCGACGGTGTGAGAAAATTGCCTAAAATTCAATATGCTGTGCAATTATCATGTGTAATAGCCTGTAAAATCCTAATATCTATTCAGCCACTTGGAAAGGCACAAGAAATGGCCTGGCCACTTAGCCCACTTTCTTTGGCCCCATCGTGGCCGTGACAGACGGCCCTGTCTGGAAAGCAGAAAGAAATAATATGAGCCATATTTCATTCAAAGGCTTTTCCATGTACCCTCATTCTTTCTGTTTAACAGACTTTCCCCTGCTTTCCTATTCTTATGATTTCTCCAGAGCCATACAGGTGATTACCTCCAGCATATCAGCCAAGTTAATGTGAACTGCATCCAGGAGGTAAAATGCGCTGGGTGGTTGTATTTCCCATTGTTGCTTTATTAAAGTGTAGTTTAGATTCTTTTTTCCTTTAATTGTTTTATGTCGGGTATAAATAATAGATCAAATGTTTGTAGTGTTTATACATTGTGATAATTGATATGAAGTGATACTTAAAATGTAGCCATCTTTCTGAATATGAATGCACAAATTAAGTTGAATTTTTTGAAGTTGCAATGTCACCAAGCAATTTCATATTGAAAGATCCAGTCACTGGAAAAGAAAATGTAAAACAGGTAAATTTACCAAAGCTTGAAAATAAGAACAGTTTTTTTGTCTTTTCTTCTTGAACATGCAATACTCATAAATCTCTGGTAAAAAATGTATAAAATTAACAACAAATGTTCCAAATATAAGGATAGACAAGGAGGGGCAATAACCGAGGATCTTTGTCCTATGTATTATTTTTCTGCTTTGTTAAATAACATTAAAAAAAAAAAATCTGCAATGGATTTTTTACACAGCTGTGAAAAGCTGCGTCTCCCTTTAAAGATCGAAATCTGTCAGTGTGAGAAGGTTTAAATGACGTTACATGAACAGACAGAAGGAATTAAAGTGAGATCTGTTTAATTCTCCAAGATGTTTGGAACAAACAAATCGAGTTTATTCATTCTAGGGATGTTGTTAGCTAAAGGATTTAAATTAACACATAATTTGAAAGAATTTGTGGTTCACAGAAATTTTCATACAGTCCCAAAACCTTTTTGCCGTGCTGCATATGTATTCAGAAGGCTGCATGTCTGTGCAGATTATGTGTGGATGCTTCAAGCAGCAGCAGGCGCCACTCAGTCCAGGCAGGTAGCGTCAACCATTTGTTCATCCTGTCGGAAGCAAACCCGTCTTCATCTTCCAACTGCTCACTTCCTCACATGACATCTGTCAAGTTTCTCCTCCGGTTTCTCCATTTAGATAAAAAACTGCCACATTTCCACATATCATTCATGCCAACAAGAGCAACATAGCAGAAAAGCAAATGCAGAGACGACAAACAAACGTTTGACGACTTTTACTGCTTCACTTGTTCTTTTGGATCACATAAATGGATGGAACAGCGATTTCTGTCGTGTTTCAGCAGCACATTTAACAGTCAGGACGAACTACGTTTAAAGTACTACATAACCTAAGTCCCTACAGAGGTCCAATCTTCCCGTCGTGTAAGAAGTGACAGTGGCAGTGTTACTTCATTTGCTACCCTCTCCAACACCACCATCATCTTCCAGACGAGGCCCATCTGAGGAAGGCAGGGGGCACTTGGTACCTCTGCTGGAATATTTCCTCATTCTGTGGAACCCTGATAAGCTCTGACTTACTTCCTCCATGTGGGTCAGAGACTTGGGGACACACAGCTTGTATTGCCTTTTGTAATTACATCTGCTTCACTGCTCTGTTTCTGCTCCCCTCATTCTCCATTCTGTTCCAACGCCAAACAAGAAATGCATTTGTAGGTGTGTGTGTGTGTGTGTGTGTGCATAGATGAAGGGAGTGGAAGGAAAGTGAAACAATCGTAATCCCTCGTTCAACACATTTGGGCCCTGGGTAGTTTCTTACATCAGACAAATATACTGAAATGTAAAGAATGTTTTTTACCTGCAGGAAAGAGATTTCTTTGTGTTTACAACTCACCACAGGCTGTGCACTGCAAAAATAACACGTATTTTTGGTCTAGTTTCTAGTGAAAATATTTTTGTACATTTGAAATAACTCAAAACTAACTTAAGTGTAACTTTTCAGCAAGAGAATAACGGCTTGTTTAAAGTCAAAAAGCCTAAAATATATTTCCACTGGCAGATTATTTCACTTCTAACATGGGGGAAATGTCTTGTTATAGATTATATAATCTGCCAGTAAATCTTGGTTTCTCCTGCTATAATTCTGCATTTTTCTTGTTAGACCTCATATAATGATATTTATCCATCAGCTTTGTCTTCTAATAATAATATAATTATCAAATAACCTGTTTGAATGCATGCCTTTATCTTTAACCCTCGAACCTACAAGACTGGTGATGAAAGAGTCCAAAGAAAGACTTTTTGCAGCTCTGATGTAATAAATAGATTTATAAATGACACGTTCTGTCTTAGTGACTAGGATTGCTGACAGCATCGAACTGCATCTTTAAGTTCTGTTTGAATAAAAATTGTGCTGTCCACAGCACATACCTGTTTGGCAATGGCATAAATCATATTCACCAAAAACCATTTGTTATCCAGTCATCCGTGATGCAATTCAGAATTAAAGAAATGCATTTTTTTTCTTATTTTTATCCATAGATGTTCAGAAAGAAGGTCCTGGGTTTGAATCCTGGCCTGGGATTTTTCTTCATGGGGTTTTTATGTCCAAACACAGGCTATGGCTTCCTCCCATAGCCCAAAAACATGACTGTAGATTCATTGCTCTCTTTTATTCTTTGTTGTGCGTGTGTGTGTGTGTGTGTGTGTGTGTGTGTGTGTGTGTGTGTGTGTGTGTGTGTGTGTGTGTGTGTGTGCATGGTTGTTTCATTTTAGGGGTCTTATACATTGTTTGCATTCGTCTGATTGTCAGGAGCTCACTGCAGGATTTCTGTGTGTGATCAGGGGAATGCATCACTACATTTTCTCTGACATTTCAAAAGCAGCCTTTCATCCCACTCACAAGGCCCTGCATGTAGAGCACATTAGTCAACTCTCCGAAACAATCCTCTCTTTTAGTTTCAGCCCTTTTGTCAAAGGTTTTCCAGGGAAAATGTTGAACTTTGGGACCAGAGATGTCGTCACGTGCGCTGAGGAAAGGCTTCCTTCCTGAAGCAGGAAGGGAGACGGAGCTGTTGTCTTTTGGCTTATGATATTCATGACACCCAAACATGTTTGTATCTCTGGACCAGCTGCCACTCATGATTCAAAAGGTTGATTCCACATCACCTGACAAAAAGCTTTGGCTTTACGTCGCAGCTGACCCTGAACAGTGTTGGGTTTGACTCTTCACTTTCTCTAACGGCTCTGCGTCTTCGCCTCTTCGTCTTTTATTCTGACCATTTCCATCCTACATATGTGAAGCTTTGTCTCCTCTGTTTTGTAGGATTTTTTTAATAGACCTATTACACTCATTGTTA